CAACCAAACAAGCACACAACAAACTTCAGGCAGTCACCGGTATTTAGATTCCACACTGTGCAGACTTGCTCCAAACAGGTTTGGGCAATAGTTGGAAGTGTTCATCCCTGCCAACATCTCCAGCCTACACCTGGTTCTCACAGGAGACCATCTCCAGCAGAACCGAACAGATGGAAAGCTACAGAGCAAGAAGTTCAACAACAAAACTGCTGCCCAATCCTACCCATGATGAACAGTTGAAGGATGTTTGGAATAATTTTTTAACAGACTTTTAAGTGGGCATTTGGGAGCCATCTCCAGGCACTATGCAGCTCAAAACATTAGAAAACGGACCGTGCTGAAGTCGACGTAAGCTGGAACTTTTTGAAGTTCAGCTGAAGCTGAACATCTTTGAAGACAATTTTGCAAAGAAGCAGGAAAGCATTAGACTCCAAATGTTTGGATCTCACCAACGCTGGTTCTTGTAAGCCCTGTTCACACAAGGCTCCAGCTCACTTCCCAGCACTCAGCAAACTGCCAACTGTGACAAGAAAAACCATCAACAATTTCATGTCTGTTGGCTCTCAAATCCTGTTATTTACAGGACATTGGGTGGCCTGGCCAGAAGTTACCCTTCCTGCAGGATCCCCAAGAGGTACCAGGTCCTGGAGAGGACAAACATGCTGTGACTTGGGATGAACCGCAGGAGCGAGGAGACATAAGGAAGCAGCACAGTCGGGGCAAATTCTGTACGCACAAGACCTTCAAGTGATTGGAGGTCTTGATCCAGCCTCCAACAAGATGAGAACACGAAGCCTGAAGACAGACGACTACTTCTCAGGACCGCAGCTGGCTCAGCAGTTCAGTCCTTTCCAATCACTCGCTCCAACATGCCAGTCACATGTGTTACAGAAACCTAGATTTCTATCTTGCTGACAACTTTATTGTACGTTATTCTGGCAGGTAACCAAACCAAGATTAATTCTTGTCAGCTCAGCCAAGCTAGATTTTATCCTCCAAGATCCCAAAGATCCACATCCTGCAGCAAAGCCTTCCCTTCCTCCTGGGCTGCTGTCAGCCTGAAGTGTCTTTACTTCTTCTGCAACAACAGAGTACAAAGGCGAACACTGAACAGAGGTCACCAACAGCGCTCAGCATCCTCTCCCCCACTCCCCAGTGAGAGTAAAGGTCAGCAGGTCTCCTTCCACTCCTGCGCACGTATCCTGTCCTCACCGTCAGAGCTGACAGCTCATCCAGCAGCTGCCCAGCACTCCACTTGAAACCCAGCGCATCCGTTCAAAGCTGCAAGCGTTCCCTTAGTTTTCAAACTAAGGTCACCCCACCACTGCTTTATCTGAACTAACCGTGATACCGCTTGGAGAGGTCTCAAAACAGCCACGGAGCAGATGAACAGTCCTGAAGGGCATCTTAACACCTGTAGGAAGGCAAGAGCTCAAACCCTCTGCCCTCACGGGTAGCCCGGTCCCTGGGATGAGCACCACTGGGGCTCTGCCCTCCACCTGCAGATCTTGATCGTGCCCCATCATACCCAACCCCATGTTCACCTTCACAGCCCTGGGTGAACGACGACCGTCCCACCACAGCAGCTCCAGTTGCACAAGAGAGCTGGGAACCCATTTTTTAACTCTGACACAAGAACAGCATTTCTCTCTCTCCCCCATCAGCTCAAGATCCAGCTCCAAGCCCAAAACAAACAGATGCTTCACATATTTGAAGTCTCTGGAAAGAGAAATAAAACTATTTTTCCCGAAAGGCCTTGAACACCAGCGGCGTCCCTCAGGCCACAGCAAAGTCACAAGTCCTGCAGTCGCACAGCCAAGAGCAAGGGGCTGGAGCTCCCCCCGCACAGACCACAGCAGCACTGGAACCCACTCCCACCCTGTCCCAGACACCCTCCCACTCCAAAAAGCCACAGAGGATGTGGACTGGAGGACGCGGACCAAGTCGGCTCCATTTTGCTGGCATCTCTACCATAGTCAGGCAATCAGTGGCCAGACAAGAGGATGGAAAAGGGAGGCCGAATTTCCGCATTTGAAGAAAAACACAATTTGCATCTCACAGAACAACCAGCCTAACTGCCACGACCACCTCCCTCCCTCCCAATAAATCATTAGCCCTGACTGTAAGCACAGACACCCGCCAATCCATGGGAACGCAGCATTTCCAGGCTGTGCTAGACCTCCTGTTTATCTTGCCC